ATGAGGTGGCTGTTTGAAATTTTGCCAGGACAACATATATGTCGCCCTTAGCGGCACGGAAAACATCTAAAAATCTAAACGGAAGCCAAACTCGTCCCACACAAGAGAAAACGTACCTTCTGTATAGAGAAAGCATATATTTACTGAGTGTAACGTAGCAGTGTTACGGTTCTTCAGATCAACCCGAGTTGCTGGTAGAGGCGGGACGTAAACAGAGTTGCTGGTAGAGGAGGGACGTAAACAGAGTTGCTGGTAGAGGCGGGACGTAAACAAAGTTGACTTGCCCACTCGTCCGAGAGCCATAGCCACGCACTCTCAGCGGTCGTTGTTGGGCGATAGAATGGACTGGAATATTTCTCGGCTTGATTGAATTCTATTCCGATGCATGAAAGTATTCAGAATCAACTGACCTACGTACGTCTGTGATACGAGCACGGGCTGCTCGCTGATTGTAGTAGAGATAGTGGTTACTCTCACTACGCGACCACTCAGTTTATTCAGTCCCAATGGATTTTCGAACGAGTGCTTTATTTTTTGTGAGTGTTCTTGAGTGAAGTTTTGATTTAGCTAGCCAATATTTCCCTCTTGACTCGATGATATATCCTTTATTAGCATATTAACAATGAATCATGGATAAGGTCTTGGCAAATACTATGGAAGAAATTAGCAAACGACGATATGCCATTTGTGGCTGTTTGGTTTTAAACACATGTTTTGGATTCTTGCAGATTAAATGAACTCCACTGAAAGTCCTTTTTCGTCTCTGGCGCCAATTTTGATTTTTTACAGTTTTCGTGGCCAACAAACAACCTTGTTAATTAATTAGAGAGTTGCTAGCTTGAGATTTGGCTCGTCCTATATAACTTCATGTTCGCATGAAGCACGCTGGATGAAAATGCCGAAATTTCTCAAAAAAAAAGCCGGATTGGAGCACTATTTCTTCTGGAGAACGGTTTTAGAGACGTGGTAATTGTGAGCACTAACTTACAGAAAAAGAATGTGTTGAGAATGTTTTTGGATGACGAACAATTTTTGTTAATCATGTTCATTGAATAGCGCTCTGGAGCGCTCCGAACATCATTAAGCGCGTTAAGGAAGCCTCGCTCGATAGCCCAGGTGCTTTATAAAGCTTATGGAATGCACGCTAGTTTTTCAGATGACAAATGGCGAGTCTTGCTGCCCAACATCGGGCGGCGCGTCTTTCAATGCCCAAGAAATGCAACAAAAAATTCCAATAAATCAGATACCATGAGCTAATTTGATGGTTGTGACCGCAGCTAATTAGGCGATGGATACTTTGTTATAATGGTTCCACTAACGATGTGAAAAACTTGATATTTTTCGCCCTGTCTCTGAAAGCATAAATCCGATTTCTTGTGGATTGCTGGCCAGGTCAAGATCATGCCGGCATGCAGACTTTGATTGTGAGTTTAGTAATGAATTCAATTTCCTCTCACCGCCAAGATTAAGTATGATGAATATTACGTTTCTCTAATCAGTTGGCTTCTTGGAAGTCAACATGGAGCATGTAGTGTTGGATAATTGTTGAACTTTTTCTTTCGAGGTAACTTACGTACCAGAGACTTTCAGGCTCTGCGAAGCAGGTGAACAACGGTATGATTTTATATAATTCTGTAATCGATTACATGCGACTTCAATAGATTGCAAGAAAACATGCTGCACAGTGCACAGATATTAGTTTGCAATGTACAGGGACCACGGCAGGTTTCCCCAAGTGCCCGTTCAAGACAAATGCCGCCCATGTTGATTAAACTAAACATTTACTTTCAAATATGTGAAAAAACGGTTGCATTTGCCGACTCTTTTCTGCGAACCTATTAATAATCAATTAATAAAACTAGATTCTTCATAAAATTTGCTAGATGAATAGGACTTGGAACTAGCCTCCTCACTGGAAAGGCTATATTAATAAATTAGCCTCTTACCCATCGAAGCTAAATGAATAAACTAGCCTCTCAACTAGTATGATCTATTGAATAGAGCTAGCCGCTTTGCCAGCAAGGCTAGATGAATAAGACTAGCCTCCTCCTTAATTAGCATGGCTAGATGACTAGTCTAACCTCCCCACTTGCATGTCTAAATACTAGTGTATACCCTCAGTTTTGGCGCACGCGGCCTCATGTATGGAAGGGGTAAAACTACTTTAATCTAATTAAAATCTAATGAAACTTGAATCAAATAAATTTATTTGTTGCTTAATTAATTTCCTCAATATGTTGATCATTATAATGGCTTCAAAGAGGTTACTGATTCACGATTTATTAAATAATCAATACCTACAATACATGTTGCACATCGTTAACCAAACGAATTTGATATATTTATAAGGTGCCGCCATGTGCGTGCATTTATTGATAAACAGTGAAGTGAAGAATTAGAGGATTAAAACTTTTACAATTTTAATTCATAAAGATTCATTTTGATAATCAATGATCAAACTATTTGACGTCTGGCATGTATACAGAGTCATTTAGAGGTAATCTATATTCAAAGTTTTTTATGAGCTATCACATTACTTTCCAACCTTGTAATTTCCATCACTAGAACTATGAGTCTGCTAGTGGGTTGCTTTCTCAGTAATCTAATACCTTTTCCTACTTCAGCCGGTGGTGTAACATTTTATAGTTAAAATATTGGCTTAAATTTATTTTGAGTTCAAAGTCCATACCATCAACTCAAGACAAAAACTTTCGGAGATATTCGTGGCTCCTAGATCCTTCAGGCCATTTGTATTTTCCTTGGACTTAATTAGCTGCTATTGTGGGCTGCTATTTCTTTGAACACTTAACACGCTCTCTTTACTGAAGTTTTACGTACCCTGTATAACCGCTATCGATCAATATTTTTCTTAGATAAAAATTTTTCTCATAACACTTATAGTTCATGTTGCTCCTGGAGTCGAGTGAAATGGAATATAAAATGCAAGCTGTGAAAAGCCTTTCATATAGACTTGTACTGGGCCGCATCGCGCCCTGAAGACGGTAATTAGCGTTCACTAATGCAGCTATAAGAGCGTTTGCTCTTGTGCGAGACGCGGGCGTTTCCAAGAAGAGGCGTGACGAGGCACGGTCGTGGAGGTAGCATTCAATTAGATTGCACTAACTTTTGTATGCAGAACTCCCTCGCGCACTCATTCTTGTTGAAAAACTGGTGCTGCATTCTATTTTCTTTAATGAGCACTTGGTATGCAAATAAATTTTTCAGTTCGATAAGAAATGTATTACAGATGCTGATGGAATCTATTTTGGAAGAACGATCGAGTTCTACTATTAGTTTTGGTATAGATTAAATCATATTTTCGCATTTGTTTTTGAAAAATAAGTATAATCAAACAGAAATACTTATGAACCTAACAAATTTTTACTTCTAAAATGAAAATTTTAAAATTTATCCGTATCAGATCTCCGTATCAGTTGTGCTCTGATAATAAGTCCCAATGAAGTATTTTGAATTGTAATATTGTGAGTGTCGATCATGTCTTTGCCATTCTCCCAGTGACTGAGTAATCTTGCAACTAAAGTGTATCATTTACCGTGGGATGAATTACTTGTTGCATTTAGTCTACTTAATTGCGACGCAAAAGATTCCTACTTCATTTTGTTGTTTTATCAGTTAGTTGAATTTGATCTGGTTGTACTAATTGCACCTTATTTGATTTTAATATTTTTTACAAGCAGTGGACACATTCAGACTTGTAAATGCCAAAGTCGTTGCACACCAATCGAAAGGAAAAAGATACAAGCAGTAAAAAATAAACGAGGGTTCTTATTTATTAAGACATCACGTCCACTATTAATGAGTCAGAAAGCGCACAATTCTCTACTCTACAGAACGCTAAGAAGATGTAAAAACTAAAGCAACCTAGGACGTACATAAGTCAATTATTCTATGTACAATAAATTCAGGCGCAACAAATGAAGGGTTGTCTATATATAAATTAGCCTTGACACTTAAAATTAAAATCTCATGAACACAAAACATGGAATGATTTGTTTCTGTTCGGCCGCAAAACAAGAGTTCATTCCAATTCAGTTTTGACTTCTCGCACAAGTGATCATCGTTGTTTAACGTTCGTGGAAATTATTAAAACCCACTAACTCTTAAATATTCGTTAATATTCTTGCAGAACACAATAATTGCAGTTATTATTCTGTCTCCCTGAATCTTACACTCAAGAAATTCTATTTGGTATTGTCAAGAACAAGAAAATAGGAAAGTACACGACGAAAATTGTAGACCGTGGCACTACAGCATTCAGTTAGAACCGCGATTTTATGAATCAAAATTTTGTAAGGCTCATGTTTATATAATTCAAGGCTGGGGACTTACTAGCCAATTTTGTACTTGTTCGCAAACAATGACAAGCGTTTCTCAAGTCCGATTAGACACAATACACAAAACGGACAAAATATTAGCTCGAGATATTCCATGGTTGATTTTAGACATGCATCAATGAAACTACCTAGCGCTCAGTGTTGGATCACTGTATTTATTCCCAGAACCGTAATCAACGGAATTTAACATTTTGGCACAACAGGATTTTAGTTTAAATGGAAGATCTTAGATGAAACCAAAGAAGACTAACCGGCAGGTTGGCTAACTTTTGCCCATTTCCAGACAAATAAATTAATGTTTATCTGGAGCCGGCAAAGCCTTTTGTTTGAGAGTCCATTTCAATATTTTAAATGAAAACCACTGTAATGGATATTTAAAATTTATACTTTTTGTAATAATATTTAGAAAAGAACTTGCTCAACGTATGCTATCTGAGATCTGAGACTCACTTGAGTTTCCGGAACTTTACGTTTGATCTTTTTGCCATGAGGTTTTAATTGAAGAAAACGAATTATTGTCATTCAAATTTTTAGGAGGAGATTATTGTCCTTAATTATTACATGGAACCAACCATTTAATAACTGAATCAAATGCTCACCTGAATATTTTGATATCAACTTTTCAAAATTTAGCAAACCTTTAGCGATAAAAAGAAAATTTTAAATTTACTCTAAAATTATCGTAAAAATTGCGTACTATAGAACACATCTTCAGTATAAGTCGACTAATTAAGCGCACGACGATTTCAAGCATAATTATTAAGAGATACAGCTTTTAATTTACAGATGGTGAACACGTTTACAGTAATTAAGCTAATCCGATGTAAAAAACGAATGTCTTAAAAAGTTTCTTGATTACACAACATCTGTACAAGCTGCAAAAACCGGGTCAGCCGAAACTACGCAATTCATCAGTTCGAGATGCGTATACGAATCTGTTCAACTTTTAGCTTATGAGGATTTTCTGCTGATGATATCGATTATTATCAAAGTGAATCTTTTACCTAATTTCGATTGATATCAGGTGACATTGTTGTCAGTTGAAAAGCTTCAATTTGAATAAAGCCTTTGATAACCTTCGTTTAACCTGAAATCAAAGGTAAGACTGGGCCATTTTACAGACTACATTCAATACGGTTCTGATTTGAAAAATGGAGACATATTTCATTAATTGATGAGCAACTTTTTAATTTTCGCAGATAAATCATCTAAAACGATTTACGATTAAACGTCGCCTAAGGCGTAGCGGAGTTATCCATGTTACCAATCGATATTCAGCGTTAATCCCGCTGACCTTGCGTATTTAAAATTATTATCATGACTCGCATATTTGGAGTCTTGTCGTAAAAACAATATCTTAGTCATGGAGACGAGACTAGAATATGTTTCATGAATTTTTTGATGAATAAATCATTCAGAAGATGATAAACCGCGAACTCAAAGTTCATACGCATTTTGCCTCCAACTTTGTTCAATTATTTACCCATAAAGCAATCCCATTCATGTGTGTACCATAATTGCGTGTCCGAATTAAGATCTACGTGGAAAATGTACATATTTTTCGGGCTAATAAACGAACGCAGTGGTGCATTCCCATTGTCCATTATTATCGCTGAACGACGTATTAAATCCGCAGCAAAAACAGATGAAGGAAATCTGGGTTGTAGACAAACTAAAGCTAAATTATTTGTCACCGAAGTATTGACAATCGTCGGCATGATGCGAGTTTACCAGGTTATAGATTAAGCATTGCCATGAAAATAAGTCATTTAAATATTGTCTCATCGAACATCCATACACATCGTTCATATTTCGTTGCAGTTTGTTTATTGATGACTTGGTTAATAAATTGTAGCGATTCAGTATAACTTCGGAATAACTTTTAGCGTAAAAATTCAGAATATAAAAAGTTATTACAGAAGCGAGGGAACTAGCATCCATGCACGTGCGAGTGGGAAATGGTAATGGACAGTAGGTGGAAGCGTAGGAGGAAATAAACAGAAGCACAAGTTACTTGTCATAAGTATTCACCTAGTTGGTTGTGATGATTCAAATGGAACATGTGTCATATTTATACAATACAATTTGAAATTTACAATAATGACTTCACATGCAATACGAATGGCTGAAAAGATAAATATCCATTCAACATTGAATCTTGAATTGAAAAAAATTTGTTCAGGAGTCGATGGCTGGGTTTGAGACTGGTTTTCAGAAAATATTTGTAAAATATATAGTGTGTTTAATGTTTACCCAACGAACTAAGCCATTCTAGATCTTGCTCGCCAGTCGCCACGGACGTGTTTGACTCGCACACACGATGGTTCTTTCAGTTTACAGTGCCAAAATTAGGCCTTTTCTTTGTAATCTTAAGATGAGATTTGTAGCCTGCTGATGAGTGAATGTATTAGAACCGACGCCTCATGTATCAAAAGTGAATTGTTTCTTTCAACTTTCCATGTGAAAATTTTCCGCTTCAACACCGTAATTATAAAGTAAACTGCGCATTTCGGTTTGGCTAAAAAGTTTGCTTGGAGCAAGGTTGCCGTTGGAGACCATAAGTTTCCTTCTTACTCTGTTGATATGGTACATATGCAGATAAAACCGTCTATAATGCTAGGCAAGGGCAGAATTAAGATCGATCCAGTGAATTAATTCTTCAAACGCATTTGCTTGACTCAACAGCAAATTAATAAGTCTCTATTCTATGTTGTTTCCCACATACCCCTACATTTCCCTTTCTACGAAACTTTTTCCATCTGTAGGCATGCGCCTTGCATGGAGCGCATGCGCGGGAAAATTGACTTGCCAGCTTGCGCATGCGCCGTAGGGTTGGGAGGAGTTAGGCCTCCTCTGCCCTCCTTGCTGCATTAGCTGATTGCCAGCTAACCTAACCTAACCTAACCTAGAGACTCATTGCTCTGCTACCGGCCAGCACTTCCGACTGCACAGAACACGCGTCTAGAACACCTCGTGATGGTTCTTCCTCCACTCACTGAGCTTGGCTTACGTCTTGGAGGAATGGCAGCAGGCTTTCAATACATTACTGAAATATTTGTTTCATTTTTTAACACAATAGTATCCAAATCATTAGTTTATCGTCTCGACTGAAGAAAGATGCTAATTTGTAAAAATGATATTATAGAGAAAATTACAAAATAACGCATAAATACTTATGAATTGTAATCAAATTCACGTAAATTATGAGCATGAAGGTTGTTTTTGATTTATCCCATTTAACTTTTTTTGAATATTGAACAACAATACATTAATATTATATCGATTATTCTCGCTCAATAATAGTCGTTCAATACTCAACTGCTATCCTTTCGCCTGTGCGTAGTTTTGCTAAGAAATTCGTTCCTGAATTTCGTGAGTCGCCAGTCATGTTTGCATGTTCGTTCGGGATTAACCACTCTCGTCGATGACCCTTGGGCTCGGCTTTTCAAGTCAGGCAGCAGACATCAGCGCACGCTTTTTGCTTTGAATTTGTTTACCGAAGACCTCATTTGTTTTCATTAGCGAGAACATCGTCGGAAGAGCCTGAACCAACAAGCGACCGCCGTCGCGTGATCTAATGCTTGTCCGGTAACGACCGGCTAATGGTTTTATAAATTGGCCGTAACCCGGAGAGAAGGGAAGGAAGAATGGCTGCCTACCTGGTCAATAAGAAAGGCCAATATCGTGAAGCCAAACTAGCCTCCAGCTAACGAAATAAGTGAGTCTTGTTTACTTTCCATCGCCTTCGATCTCAGTGAAAATTAACGTGAAATATGAAGCCAGGTACCATGGTTTCAGAGTTAAAGCGGCGATTGTCTTTGAGCTTATTTTTTACAGCAAAATGGAAAATCGTAATCTAAAGACGTGTGAGTTTAAGATTTTCAAGGAATTGGTGAAATAAAATCTAACTGGCAAACATCGATAAAAAGGTCAATGCGAATTTCGACTGATCGAGAATTTTTTTTTCACTAAGTATGTTTGTGGAGTCCTAATCATTACACTACTTGATTGGAAACTAAATAGGTTCCACTCTAAAAAAACATTTCTTACATAGTGTCCACAGTTAAAATACGTTAATGAGATCAAGCTTTGAAATGTTCAAATAACTGTAGTTATTATAGCTAGAAATATATCCTAATTGCAATAATCTCGCACTAAAGTGAGAGCTACAGACATTGATGGTTGAGAAGAATTTTGTCAAGTACATTAATTGTAGCTCGAGCTTAACAGAATGAAATACGATCCATTATGCCTATGAATGAATGTGGTGCATCACTATTATTCACCGAATTGTCTTCATTAACTTGCTGGAAAGCACTAATTGGCACGTATGGCACCTTGTGAGCATAGCTCAACATAAATTCATCGTGTTGCATTATATTTTATTAAGAAACCGCGTCCGATAAGTTACATCTATATATTTTATATACAATCTATACGTACGATACATGACTGAGTTTGATAAAGTAATTATTGTTAAAAGCACAGTGAAAAGGGAATCAATTTATTTACACGGATAACTAAACGGTTACGTGTCGTTTCATGTGAAGACTGAGGTGATCGGAACGAGAAAATGCTCGTTCGCACAACCGGCACTGGAAAGGCCGGTCTCCGGTATGCTTCCGGCTGTGTCGGGTCAGTTCGTCTGATCTCGCAAACTTCCAGCCGCAACCTTTCCAGTCGCACATGTAAGGTTTTTCCCCCGTGTGGGTCCTCAAATGCGCCTTCAGATGCGATGATTTAGTATATGTCTTGCCACACCCTGGGGTCTGGCAAGTGTGTGCTGTAATCTTCTTTCTACCACCTGGCTTTTTTATTGCCCTGTTCTCAGAGTCTTCAGTGGTTGGAGTAGTAGTTTCTTTGATGCTTGGCAGCAGACTTGGGTTCATGCCTGGTCCTGGTCCCCGTCCATTACCTGAACTAAGAAGTTCAGATAGGTTAGGAGATGACGGAGGAGTCATAACTTTGCTAATGGGCATTAATGCGTGACGAGTTAAATGTCCGTTGAGGCCTGGCGGTAACTGTCTTCCTTGACGTAGCACTCCTCTGGGGAGTTCGTCTGTGTCAGGAGACGCTGGAGGAGACATTTGACCATGAGTATAAGTAACGGGATTCCCATTCATTGCAATGGAAGTTTGATAACTAGAGCCTGATATTCGAGGTCGAAGACTTGGAGGCATCATTTGATGATTTTGTTGAAGTGAACTATGCGGTGCAGGTACCATAGAGGATGTTTGCTGGGGTACTTTGTTATATGTTGGCTGTATTGAATCTTGAGATAAATGCATGTTGTCAGTACAGGGTACTGGGTCAACGTGTTGGTTAGTTCGAGCTTGCTCTCGTAAGTGTTTCTCATTTGGGGAGTGAGGGACCACGGCATTCTGGCAGTGTCCTTCAGCGACGCTTTTTGCCAGAGCGTCGAGATCAACGAAATCTTCCGATTCCATCAGCGCCGAGTTGTCTTCATATGCTGTGTGTTCGAATAAATTGTGATCGTACGGAGTGGAACTGAATGAATTCCTTTCTAAAGCATTCAATTCCTCATTGACGTAGGCATTTACATCCAATCCATTGTCATTGTACCCAACATAAGATTGCGAAAAATTTGAAAAGCAATTTGGTGCCATTTCTGCGCATTGAGTTTGCGACTCGGCATACTGAGCTGACGCTGGATAGCTCATAACCTGATTGCCAACAGTGCTTCGCTGCTCTGTCGTTGAAGGTATTTGATAGGTATTGTCTATGTATGTGTACTTCAATGCCTGGTCATTCTGGTAAGTGGCATGATGAGGCGTATAAGTGTTTTGACCTGTTTGCGACGACATCGTGTGTTGGATTTCCTTGAGATTATCGGGACGAATACTTTGTGGTGCATTTAGATGTGAAGTGTGGCATGGGAAAACTTGGCTTAGAGGCTGTGTTTGTACAGAAGCTGAATGCAGACTGTGATGTTGTGCCGTTGAATTGTAAGTTTGAGGAGTATGTGATTGATGAGACAATTGGCAATTTAGTTCTAAGTGATGTTTTGTCAGTTGCTGTTGTTGCTGAGGTGTTTGTGGCAATTGAAAAATTTGTGAGTGTGTGGAAATTTCGGTAGAATCGACGTGCATACGGCTTTCATCATATCCATTCAGTGAATTCGATGAACTGATATGATGATTTGTCTGTTGTGGATGATGTTTGTGGACGTTTTGATTTAACTGCAAAGAAAACTCGACTGATCGAGGGCTGGAGTTCCTCTGGTCCATAAAGGTGTGTTGGCCGGTAGAATGTTGATTATTAGCTGATATCTGCGAGTTATCTTCATTGTTGCTAGAATGCAAGTTTTCAGGATTATTCTGAGGCTTCTCATCACAAAGAACTTGGTTGTTAGTAGGACAGGTTATCGCCCCGAAAGCTCCTTTTTGTCTTTTCCCGTTATCATTAGGCTTTTTCGAATTTGCTTGATCTAAACCTCGACTTTTTTTATTTGTAATTCCGCCCGTTTGGTTGGTTTCACTCGTGTCGTCCCTTTCGTTTGCACACAAAATGTCTGCTGGTTTCTGGAAAGAATTCGATGAGATATCTCGCATGGCTGTTCCCGGGACTGAATCAGTCGCAAACACACAACTATTACTCGCTACTGTTGAAGGATATAAAGAATTGCAGGAGATGCTCATCGACTGAGAGCGTTGCTTTAGGCTTGAATCCTGACTTGTGCTATCCTTTTCATTTGTAGGAGACGATGGTTGACTAGATGATTTACCAGGTACCTTATTGTTTGTCTGGTAATTTTGGGAGTAGGTTCTACCCATTAGATTCAAATAGTATGATCCCTTACTTGAATTTTTCGGTGTTAATGGAGCTGTTAGCACCTGGGATAAAATCGATTTTTTCCCGAGCAAATTTTGATTCACCTTTTCCTTAGAAGTAAGTTTTGACGTAGTTTTTGATATGCTCTCCGTGAATTTTTCGTGAGCGTCTTCAAAAATGGATTTCGAAGCAATAGGCGGACATTTTGTCTTATTTACTACATGAGAGGATATTTCCTTGAGCTTTTTTACTTCATAAACAGTTTTTTGCCCTTCAATTAACAAGTTATCATGACATCTCGCAGATGGGTTTTCTCGAGATATGGCAGTGCGAACAATTTGGTCATTACTTGTTAGTGGATTCGTTACCTGAGAATTTTTGTTGGTATCATGATCTGCGTTACAATGATTTTGTACAGAAGAATTCTCATGTTTGGCGGGTAAAATTTTGATAGATGCTTGTACATTGAGAAACGTTTTTTCTGTTTGTGGAAATGCTTCTTCACTGCTTTCCATCGTCATTTTAATGATGTTTTGTTCAGAGTTAGAAAAATTCACTTCAGTGCAAGGTGTACGATGCGGTGCATGATTTTGTGCATAAGTTATATTATTAGCCAAACTTTGATTTTGAACAGAAGCAGAGCAATCCGCATAAGAGGTTTCGGTAATTTTACATAATACCGATTCCGCAAAGTTTGGCACATTCGTGTTGGGAGGCTCTAAGTTGGTGACTTCGAAGCGGGTGGCAGGAGAGCTGGCGTTGCTGTCGCTGTCCTGGAGATTGTAGCCGCTGTCGCAGTTGCTGTACGGCGCGTCCAAGTCACCACAGTCGGTGTCGCCTACGTCGTGGCAGAGCTACAGGACGGTGTAGACGTTGTGTTGTTTGTGCTTCCAATCTGAGAAGCAGCACCGTCTCGATGTCCTGCCACATCTGCAATACAACAAACACGAAGGTTAGACTCAAGCAGCACCGTCTCGATGTCCTGCCACAACTGCAACACAGCAAACACGAAGGTTGTACGCCGCCATTCAATAGCAAGTGATATTTGATTCAGGTGTTGCCCGTACACTAGGTTGAAAATGAGTTAGAATTATAAGATCAGAATTAGGTCAAATCAATAAAAATATGAATGCATATTTATAAGGTGTAATTATGGCAAGAATATACGTAGGTGCGTCATTAAAGCTTTCAACTGAATTCGCATAATAGTGTATATTGGAAATGTACTAATCAATATCTATGTATTATATCGTAACAATATCTCTGTATTAAAGCATCTCGAATGTTGACACAAATGACAGCAAGGGCGTGTCATGTCTGCCGTGCAGAACAATTTATGATTTTTAATCGCTGTAAAACTCGCCTCCTTAAATGAAGCTTTTTTTGCTATATCAAGATAGTCGTTATTTGACGGTTCGTTATTCTACGTGGTAAAATATTACTTAAAATAATTTGCGTGGTAAATGTTTTGAAAATAGACATATTTGATTTTATTCCTTACCTAAATGTGTTAGAACAAAACATTTCAAACATGTTCCATGGATGTTAGAGAAACTGGCGCAGTTAGTTTCTTTCATTAGTTAATACAGAAAATAATTAATATTGATGATGTAGTAAATTCCTATCTATCAGGGGGTATTTGATGCCCGCGATGTAATATATTTTGGCTAATGATAGAGAAGTTGAACAAATAGAGGATATCAAGTGCTTTTAATTCAATTTATAACATGAAAGAACGCTTCATATTCAATTTGCTTCACCATTTAAATGCCTTAACATCTGGGGCTCCAAAGCTGTTGTTTCAACCGTTTCACAATCCCAGCTGCTGAGAGGGGCTGCGTTGCGCCACTGCTTAGATTGCTCAAAGGCAATGGGGTGTTCCTGATTAGCCTAACGAATGTAAGCAAATTATCGACTGGCGACAATTAATGACCACATTCCTTTGAGACGAGCAACGAGATTACAACGCATCAACGTCAACTCATTAGAGCTAGTGTGCGTGAACGATGGTTAATTATTATTGTGATATTAAATCAGGTCATCTAGCTATAAGGCTGAATATTACTAGCATTCTCATAGCACTAATTCTCAACAGTAATAGGCCATTACTAATTATCATCCGGTATCGCTAGATATCTGAAGCTGCGTGGCCATTACCTACCGCCAATTTCACAATTTTAAATCTGCTACTCCTTCAAATTTGATTAAGTAAAGTTTTTGAAATGCGATTCGAATCACGATCATGCATGACTGTGAGAATATATTATAAATGGGTTCTGGCCTTCACTGCGTAAGATCATCAGATCAAATCAACTCTTTGTTTGATGATGTGTTCCGAGAATCTCTTCATAGATTCGATGTTCACGGTAAATGATGTGGAATTGATTGATAGCAAAGGCATGAATTCATTAATCATCAAAGATTTCATTAAATGATTTGCATACAGAGTACAATCATGTCCAGGAAATGTATGTTCTCTCTGTCCAATATTGAAATTTGCTAGTAGTTTGGAATGTCCTGCTTCTTATAGAAGTTTTGAATGACTTGAATCGTTCCAGTTAACGAAAGTTGTCTAATTATAATGGATCAGATGCCATCGACAACAACACATGCATGGTAAACGTGTTTTCTTGGGACCGTTGGACAATCCTTTTATCTTTGATTCTCAAATACTCACTAGTCTACCATCAAGCATTTGAATGGCTCTCTTTGAACTTTAATTTAATTTCCGATAAAATTGATACTTAGAACAGTATAGACTTGAAGAGATTAAGCTCAAAGGAAGCGCTTTAAATTCTGCCGTATCAGGAGCAATGTGGCCGCAACTCCTTGACATAAAACCTGATAATTCGCCACCCAACTTCGCTGTTGCTCTCAGAGTAGCAATCGGAAGCTTCGTGCAGTCGGAAATATAGCTAAGAGCTTTATATGTTTTCAGTACCTAATGTTAATATCGATATTCTGTCCACTGAAGCTCGGATTTTTCATTTTTATCTAAAGACGTTTGAATTGTAATATTCAGACTCCGCATGGAGCATGTTTTAGTATTTAAATTTAATGTATAGAGATAATCAGTGGTGGAGAGGTACGCTAACTATTCGTCAATCAAACAAAAGATTCAAATAAAAGTCTTGCATTGGCAACAAATGACCGTGTTAAAATCACATGTCAGGCATGCAGCTTCGTGCCCGTGCCCTGCTATAGTGGGGCGACTGGAGCTCAAATTTACGCACCGTTTATCAAAGAGTAAATGTCAGAATTAGTAACATCTTTCCGACTTATCCATAGCTGATATTTCTTTTGTGATAGAAATTTTAATGCTAAAAGTTTACCAAGTAATTGAAATGTGTAGCTCAAGGTGATGCAGATTCAATCGGCTTTTAATTTATTTGCTGCACGGTCGTGATGCATAAAGATTTACTACTGACAAGATATTGAATAAATTCTAAAGTTTATTATTCGTATTAAACTCGTATCCTAACATATGTTGATGTTATTGAAGGGAGGGCATCACGCAGAAGCTTTCTCGTGGTCAATGGCCGCTAATGAGATCCGTGCTGAGATACTTTGCATCGCACCCGCTGATCTTTAAAAAGATCCTCTGATATTCATCTCACTCATGCAAATTATTTTATCAAAGCCATTTAAATCTATAAGTCTGCAATCAATGCCTTTTTCTGCCTAAATGAACTCTAGATTATTACCAAGCTACATTAATGGTAATGTATACATTGCTTCTTTCAAGGGCTTGAATAATCGTTGCTGTAAGCGTTCAAAAATTTTGAGCGAATGCTATTGGGTATGCAATTCAGATTAAGTTATTTTTTGTGAACGACAAGCTCGGCTCTACACCACATAGTCTGCATGAAGCATGAGACTATAGTAGATACTACAGTTATTCCTCTTGCAATGTTTTGTACGTAATTAAATTTAATTCCATGATTTATTCTGTGAATACCGATGTATTTGAAGCTGGCTTTTCGATGCCTTACTATGCCAAAGCACGCATCGTGTCTCGTGTGTCTCGAAATTCTTGCATATTTGATTCGATTCCTCCATTGGGTACGAGCACACGACTCCATCGTTGGAGCTAATCTGAACACATGCCGATAGCTTGTAAAAGTGTTACTGGAGCTTTCGTCAGCTCGCCCTCGCCGGAACAAACGAGGTATGCCTACTTTACCACCACTGCTATTCCTCTATACAGAGAGGAATGCATCTCTTTTATTTTTTTTTCATTTTCCAACCTCGATTATTTTTTTCGGATGTTGTTGTCACACTCGAGCGACTCAATGCAAAAGGTTCGGTTAAGCTGATGCCCTGCCAAAGGTTATCCTTCTATGGAGAAATTCTGATGGTCTTTGCCCCGCATTATCTTACAGAATAAAAGTTGGATCGCCAGAGTGTGCCATGGATGTTACACACATATTTTGCAGCAAATTCTTCCACACGCCAACTTTCTAACAACTTTCGGAAATTGGTGAAGTATTTTATTGATGAAAAAAGAGGGAACAAAATGAATTACTTCGTTCACGTCTCAGTTTTGTGAGTGACTAGGATAAATTTTTTGTAATGTATCGTTTGAAGGTCGGACAATCTATATCCTCTGTGCAGACCAAATTTTATGTTACTGCGTAGTTTCTTTTTCCTCTAGAAAGTATTTCCTTGTTGCTATAGTTTGATTTTCATTTCTTGACATCTTGAACATAAATTTTAATCATGCACCTAAGAGGAATAAAAATGATTTATTTTGGCTACTGGACTCAAAAAGAGAGACCGAGGCTCCATGGTTCTGGAAGGCTGAGGATCGGTTGCTCAACCCGTGGAATATATGACGAGCTCGTCGAGTTTGTCGGACAGCTCAATGAAATCTTCGAGATTTTTCATCTTTTGTGGCGATGTTGATCTTACCATCCCTTCCGTAATGATCTATTGAGCGTGATGGTGAGCACCTCTTTCTTTGTCAAGACTGTGCACCTGACCATCGCAGTTCTGTTTTATTTTGACCTTAGACGCTCATAAATTCCTTATCAAAAAACGCGTTATTTTTGTGCTTTGAAGGTTCTACAACGCCTGTTTGGATATCACTGAGAGTGACAGAAGGTTAAGTGGATTTTTTTCGTTTGTTGATATGAATAGGAGTCGTAACGAGATCAGAGTGAGGGCACTTAGCGCAGTTAATGAGGGCTTGATTGTGGCTATTGTTTTAGTTTTGTTGGCGCACCGGTGAGTGGTGCAGGCTTGCTTAATGGACTTGCCCGCTGCACTTCGTACGTCGTCGCTATGGCCACCGCAAGAAACATTAGGACTTTGGTCGCCATTCTGACCAAAATCAAATAGGGAGAAATTTGCAAAATCAGATTGATCAAATGGATACCGCACGGGAACAAACAAATTTTGTTTCCGATTCTGGTTTTACGGATTAATGTCTGATCATCTGTTTGATTGGATCATAAAACATTTTTGTTCAATGATATTGTTCACCTTATTTATTGTGTATGCCGACACGTTACTTATTTTTTTTGTGTAATTCAGGTGTATTTGCATGGGTTAACGCATAAGAATATTAAATGAACAAAATTTTCAATAGATAAATTTAGCCAAATTGAATATCTCTGCAATACAAAATCGACACAACTCTCATAAGAATCGTGCTTTCCTCAACATTTTCTGTTTACATGCTGGTCACTCAAACTTTTCAAATACTCGCTACTTAATGTAACCGATTTCAATAATAAGTAGTATTTCCGATCCTGAATCTGTCCTCTATTGCATCCGAGTGGTCAATCAACAATGAAATAAAGTTACGCACAATTTTACTTGTGTTTTAGTGAATTCCTGTACCGATGACTCACGCTCGCGTCACTATATTTTACGGGACTACTCGACTGCATTGTGTTGTATAGTGAACACACTGAGACGAAAGAATGTTTCATGTTGTCCAAATTGTGTTACACTCTCTGCTTGCAGCACTGAAATACCTTTTTGTTTGCCCAAAATAGCTCAAGATGAACAACAAAAGAGCAGAAGTCCATCGGCAGTTCCACTGCCGATGGACTTATGTAATT